GGGTGATCACTTGAGTTCAGGTGAGTTTGAAACTAGCCTGGGTGACCCAGCGAAACCCATTTTCTACAAAAAATAAGAAAAATTAGCCAGGTGGGGTGGAGCACACCTGTGGTCCTAGTCACTTCGGAGTCTGAGGCAAGAGGATCTTTTGGGCCCACTGTATATCACTCCAGTCTGGTAGATAGAGCAAAGCCTATCTCTATTTTTTTTAAAAAAGGAAAGAGAGCGGCTCAGCACCTATGGCTCAAGCAGCTAAGGCGCCAGCCACATGCACCTAAGGTGGCAGGTTCGAATACAGCCCGGGCCGCCAAAACAACAATGATGGCTGCAACCAAAAAATAGCCGGGCGTTGTAGGGGGCGTCTGTGGTCCCAGCTACTTGGGAGGCTGAGGCAGGAGACTCGCTTGAGCCCAGGAGTTGGAGGTTGCTGTGAGCTATGATGCCATAGCACTCTCCCCAGAGGGATGGCTTGAGGCTCTGTCTCAAAAAAAAAAAAAAAAGGAAAGAGAGCTTTTATCACTCAATGCAAATCCACTTTCCATACTGTTGCTGCCCCCTACTGGTCTCTGAATTCACTTTATTTTCAGTTTTTCTTTTTTTTCAGGAATGATATTAAAGATAACATTAAACTTAAATTTAAAAAATCACAAAATGGGCTCGGCACCTGTGGCTCAAGCGGCTAAGGCGCCAGCCACATACACCTAAGGTGGCAGCTTCGAATCCCCAGCCCGGGCCCGCCAAACAACGATGGCTGCAATCAAAAAATAGCCCGGCGTTCTGGCGGGCACCTGTGGTTCCAGCTACTTGGGAGGCAGAGGCAGGAGACTCGCTTGAGCCCTGGAGTTGGAGGTTGCTGTGAGCATGATGCCATGGCACTCTACCCAGGGGGATAGCTTGAGGCTCCGTCCCAAAAAAAAAAACAAAAAAAACAAAAAAAAAAAACCACAAAATGGCAGGAGCATACTCAATTTCTGCCAATATATTAATATATTAAATAATTGGGCCAGGCTCAGTGGCTCATGTCTATAATCCTAGCACTCTGGGAGGTTGAGGCAGGAGGATCACTTGAGCTCAGGAGTTCAAGACCACCCTAAGCAAGAGCAAGACCCCATCTCTACTAAAAATACAAAAATTAGCTGGGTATTATAGCAGGAGCTACTCAGGAGGTGGAGGCAGGACTGTATGAGCCCATGAGTTTGAGGATGCTGTGAGCTAAGACCACAGCACTCTAGCCTGAGCAATAGAGTAAGATTCCGTCGCCAACAAGCACAGTAGGTCACACCCATAACCTAAGCACTTTGGGAGGCTGAAGTAGAAAGATCACTTGAGGCCAGGAGTTCTAGAACAGTCTGGGCAATAGTGAAACCTCATTTCTACAAAAAAATTTAAGTATTAGCTAGGTATAGGGTTCATGCCTATAATCCCAGCTGCTTGGGAGGCTGAGGCAGGAGAATTGCTTGAGCCCTAGAGTTTGAGGTTATAATGACCTATGATGATACCACTGCACAGTCATCAGAGTAAGACCTTGTTTGTTGGCTTATAAATAAATAAAACTTTAAAGTCATGATTTTATTTTTAAAAATAGTGCATTTGGTCTATCACAAATTAGTCCCACTTTATGCAAACAACTCTCTCTGTAAGTGGGCAAGAGATCTGAATAGCAACTTCTCCGAGGATGATGAATGGCAAAAAGAACCATGAAAAAATGCTCATCATCTTTAATCATCAGAGAAATGCAATCAAAACCACTCTAAAATACATCACCTAACCCCAGCAAGATTAGCCCATATCACATAGTCCCAAAACACCAGATGCTAAGGTGGATGTGGAGAGAAGAGAACATTTCTACAATGCTGGTACAATTGCAAAATATTATAGCCCTTTTGGACAGAGGTATGGAGAATCCTCAAAGATCTAAAAGTAGACCTTCCATTTGACCCTGCAATCCCATTATAGGGTATCTACCCAAGAAGAATAAACAAAGACATTTGCACTAGAATGTTTACTGGGGCTCAATTTATAATTGCCAAGTCATGGAAGCAAACTAACTGTCTATCAATCCATGAATAGATCAACAAACTGTGGTATATGTATACCATGAAATACTATGCAGCCATTAAAAAAGATGGACACTTTACATGTTTTACATTTACCTGGATGGAGTTGAAATACATTCTTTTTAGTAAAGCATTGCAAGAATGGAAAAATAAATATCCAATGTACTTCATACTAATATGAAGTCAATATATAAACAATTACATGTTCCTAAGAACATGAAGACACTATAATAGTCCAGTTCAGGGGTAGAGGGAAGCAGGAGAGGGGAAGGGAGAGGACGTATGGCAGAAGGAGGTAAGGCATGAGATAGGATCTCACCTAATGTGCACATTGTGAGGGTGTATAACACGCCCCCTGGGTGAGGGGCTCTTCTACAAATGGAACTTTACCCTGGAGGTGAGAACAATGGAACCTAAATACTGTACCCTCATATTAATTTGAATAAAGTCTTAAAAAATTAAAAAGAAAAATATAACAAATTAGTCCCACTTTAGATTTTTTTTTTCCACTTTAGATTTTCTTCTTGAAATAAATATGCTAAGGAGCTATGCTGAACTCTGCAAAATGCCATTCTTTAAAAAAAAAACTCAAGAGCTCCTTCAGGTTCCCAATGACCAGGGTACACTAGAATCACAAATATTCTGTATAAAAGAACAGAGCTCTAGGCCACAACCTTAAACAGTCTTCTCCCTCTAATACTTTCCAAGCTACAACACTTCAAATACCTAACTGGACAACTGCCAAACCTTTAAGAAAGACATTTGATTTACATAATGTTATGACCTCTCACATATCTGTAAGTTAAATGTAATCCCACAAAAGTAGGAAATTATTAACTTGTTGCAAAACTCTCCAGTATTTTAGAACATGGCTATACAGGGAAGTCGAAGAAGGGAGCCAAACTGGCCCCATCCCAATTCCTAACTTCCACAATTATCCCAGAAAGTGAGAAAGATGACCCAAAGAAATGTGTGTTGAGCAGTTCTTCTTACTTTTGGGCAGAGGGAGTGTTAACATATACTTTGATAAAGGACAGATCCTTTCCCCAGAAAAAACACATAGATATACAAAATTGTGCATAAATTTCAGGAAGACTCCAAGAACTCATTCAAGAATCCCAGCTTTAAAGTTCCTGTATTAAGTAAAAACAGAACTTTAAAGGGTGTGGAAAACACTTAAGAGAAAGGCAAAAAAGGAGGATAAAGAGGAATAACCATAAAACAAAATGAAAACGACGAACACAAAAATGTTTAACAAAATCCTAGAAAGGAGAGTTTCAGGCTCGGCGCCTGTAGCTCAAGTGGCTAAGGCACCAGCCACTTGCAACAGAGCTGGTAGGTTCGAATCCAGCCTGGGCCTGCCAAACAACAACTACAACCAAAAAATAGCCAGGCGTTGTGGCGGGCACCTATAGTCCCAGCTACTTGAGAGGCTGAGGCAAGACAATCGCTTAAGCTCAGGAGTTGGAGGTTGCTGTGAGCTGTGATGGCACAGCACTCTACCTAGGTCAACACCTTCAGGCTCTGTCTCAAAAAAAGGGAGAGTTTCAGGAAGATCAAGACAGTTAAATTCATCAGTAAAGCCTGATGGAAAGGTAGAGACTAGACTGTATTACTAGATTGTAAATTTAGCAAAAAATAGGTCACCTAGCAAATGTCACTTTAGTTCTATGGTCAGGGCTGGAAACAAGACAAGTCAATGAAAGATATTAAGTGTAGACTTTCAAAAACTTGGCTGGGAATAGAAAGAGGGATAGATAGATATGAATGTATTAAATAAAAACTAGGGACAAAAGTACCTTTTTAAAATAGGATAGATCTGAGTTTTTTTTTTTTTTTTTGGTTGTAGTTGTCATTGTTGTTTGGCAGGCCCAGGGTGGGTTTGAACCCCCCAGCACTGGTGTATGTGGCTGGCACCCTAGCCAGTGAGCGCCATAGCCTGGTGCTGAGCCAGATTGAGTATTTTTAAACATTAGGTGGTAATGAGCCAATACAGAGATGAAAGCAAAGTGAGAGTACAGGGTAGGGAAACAAAATTAAGGGAGTTCCAAACTCAAGGCCAGTACACTCTCAGAAAAATACAAGGCTTTTTTTTTTTT